AAGGGCAGCATATAAATGTAATAAATCCAAATCCAATCCAAATCCAAAAGCAAATGTTCACATAAACCCTCCTCTGCAGGTCTCCAGAGGACTGATCTAGAACCTAATGGATCTTCAGATCTGAAAAGATTAACAGAAGCTGCGCTATGGAGCAAGATGTCCCCAACAATCCCCACAATCTGAAAAGATGGCTATGATTGAAGTTAAATCCATTAAACTTTCAGTTCAATTCCAACTTTTGGTTTTCTCCCAGCTGCATTTTATTCTTTCAAATTTCTAATTATTCTATTCAGAGTACAGTAATTGAGAAGGCTTACATTTCTAAACAGTGGATACAATCCACGGCCTTTTACATTTTAAGAGATTCAGCAGCAACTAATCCAGTCTCAACTCAGCATTTACTTACCATCATGCCATACAGTGGAAGCTGCCCATGAACTTTGAACTGATTGGATGCTGTTAGGCCTCGACTTGTGTACAGCAAGACATCATTGAACTGAAACATAGCAGGCAAGAATATAGTCAGAACAGAGGAAATAGCAAACTCTAAATACATCTAATATTCTAATTGTGACTTAATGAACATGGGATCATTGGCATTTGCAGCCCTGTTATCATTTAGATCTAATAAATAAGTTACATTCTTCGCAGGATAACATGCATGAATTTTGGACTGCTATCCCAGTATAGCTACTTTAATCCAGAGGATCAATCGTATGAACTATCCCTTAAGAACATGGGAGAAAACCATATTCACCCAATCACAATTTTGAGAATTATTCCATCCAGTACCTAAAATAATGCAATAGTTTTCCATTTTGTTCAAAAACTATTTAAAGCACACACAAATACTTACCTTCATCACTGTTCACTAGAGATGTAGGAGCTTTTGCTCAAAAAAGTGTAATAATAAATACTGGTATTTTAGAAGCTAGTTTTGTTTCCTTGAGATAAAATATGCAGATCTTTCTTTTCTATGGGAGATTTAAGTTGAATGACAAAAAATTATCCCATATTGTAAGCTTTTAATGTCAGGATTTAGTGGCCAAAGTCAGACAGGGATTGGTTTGGTTCTTGGGAAGACTCAACTCATTCTCCTACTTTCTACACTGTATTTAGATTTCTTCTCTATGTAGAACAAATACTTTCATATTATATTCCAACTAGTTGACTTCTAATCAGAAGTCATGGTAAATCTATATAGGCGTTTTTCTTTGCTGTGTGATAACACTTTGTGCTTTATAATCAGCTTTGTCCTGTAGGTTAGTTAATAAAAAAAATCTATGATCTACTGACTGTCTAGCCTAGGGGTCTCTAATCCCTGAGCCGTCGCCCATTACTGGGCCACGGCCTATCCACAATGGGGCTGCGAGAGTGGTGGGCCTGCGCGCATGCATGCGCAGCTCAACTTGCACACACAGTGGGCCAGTGCATGTGCACCTGCATCGCACTTCAACTTGCACATGTTGACCTGTGCCTGCATGAACATGCATACCAGCCCGCTGCTTGTGCAAATTGAGCTGTGCATGTGTGCGCTGGCCACCACTTACGCGGCCTGGTTCCCATCCTCCCCATGGGGCTGCAAAGGTTGGGGACCACTGGTTTACCCTAAATTGCCAAAATAAAGTTTATCACAGGACTGTGTGCAGTTCAATGTAGACCTACATATCCTATTACAAAGCATTTTCAAGATAGTGGTCCAAGTTTCTGTCCAGCCTGCCATCTCACAGCATAGGCCTTGCTTAGCTAGATGCCTTAAGTAAGGGAGTGATGGTGTGGGGGAACAGCAGGATGGGTGAATGGCGGAAGGGAGGAAGAAATGAGGAAAGAAAAGTGAAACCCTGTGGACAGTTCCCAGGGAAACGGAAGCCTGTCCCAAGGTCACCCAATGGGATGCAACACCATTAACAACACTGCAACACTGTTATTAAATCAATTTATTTGAAAATGATTGGTCACTCAATGATGGGAGGAGGGGGATGAATCCCAGGGGAAAAGATAACTGCTTAGTTTGGGCTGAGAAAAGCGAGATTTGTCTTTGCTTCTCTGTAACCATTTGGCCTCAGTAAGGTATACTTTTACTGCTATGGCCCTGAGAGTCTTTCTTTCTGATTGACTAAGTTGGGACAGCTGTCAGTTTCTCTATTAAATTAATCCTAGATTTATCATTTTCTGAAATCTATGTACTGGGCTGCATATCTTTCATAATTCTCAGGAAGAGCAGAATAAATGAACAACATGTGAGTGCAGCTTTTGATTGCTTAAGAATCACTCTATATTTATTCCATCTATTCTTGGTTTATTTAACATTTGGCTGAGCCTCCTTTCATCCAGGAGAACAGAAAGCTGCAGGTCTCTTAGATTACTCCACAGTTTGCATCTTACTGCTTCTGTGAATTTCCTCCCCCCCCCCTTCCTTTTCCCTTGGCATTTGGGGCACAATTGTATTTAATTGCACACATTCTAAGCAGTTCCTGTCACTTACCAAGAAGAACATCCGCTGCTGTAAGCCTTTTCCAGACAGTTTGCTGAGACTACCCAACCTAATAAATTCCTGTGGAGGAACAGACACAAAAGAGAAAACATCAAACCTCAGGCTGAACGTTGGCATTGGCGGTAATTAATAAGGCCGGCAGCATATTAATTCAATTCCCCAAAAAGTGCTATGGAAGACACAGAGCACAGCATCTATGCCTTTTCCCAAAACATTTCAGCTGTCCCGGGATCCTTGAAAAAGACACATGCTTTAAAGCATTTTAGACAGGGTTTTTGTATTTATGCCCCCTGAATTCCAAAGGATATTTTTGGAAATGTATTGATTGATTGATTGATTTTGGAAAATTTATATAGCCACCCATTCACTCAAGGCGACTCTAGGCGGCTAACAGAAAATAAAAACAATGTAGAAGAAATAAAAAGAATAAAATAACAATCACTCCCCACCTCCACCCCTCGACAACAACACACTCATATCAGCCATTTAATGGGCTCCAGTCCACTCTGGTTTTCTCCTGGCCCGCTGGTCAAACCAACCACGTCTTCAGAGCCTTCTGAGAGAGGGTCAGAGTGGGAGCCAGTCTAATTTCTGGAGGGATAATATTCCAGAGGGAGCCATCACGGAGAAGGCCCTTCTTCTGGGTTCCACCATACGTACTGTATTTTCTGGAGTATAAGACGCACCAAGGTTTTGAAGAGGCAAATTAAAAAAAAGTTTTTGCACTCTGCAAACCTCCCACAAATGGCCCGTTTTTGGCAAAAAGGGCCTTTTTTGTCAAAAAAGGGCATAGATAGCCTTTAGGAGGCTTATAGAGTACTCCTGGGTGGCTGGGGGTGGGCAAAATTGAGCAAAAAACAGCCCGGTTTTTGCTCATTTCTGCCCTCCCAAGCCCCCAGGAGCTCTCTGAAAGCCTTCTAAAAGCTATGCATGGCCATTTTGGGGAAAGGGGCAGGGTTTCAGGAGGTAAAAAATGCTGTATTCAGTGTATAAGATGCACCCAGATTTTCAGCCACTTTTTTGAGGGAAAAATGTGCGTCTTATCTCCGAAAAATACGGTACTTCCTTAGGGGACAGAACCTACATCATTTCTTGCCTCCCCGCTCTAATGGGTAGGGAAATGATTATAAATATAAATCTTTTCCAGATCTATTCACTATTGCTGTATCATTGACCTAATGATATGGTGCCATTGAGGAGAGATGCGTAAGTGAAAAGTACCTGACAGAGGTGGGCATCACATAATGTAACAACCAGTTCGCCCGGCACCAAAAGTGTGAGCGCTTGCGGGCTCAGCCGCTAGTTGGAACCACCGGTTTGCCCGAACCGGCAGCAGCCCACCTTAGATGTATATATAATTTGCATATTCAAAAAAAAAAAGAGACAGAGTGAAAGAGAGATTGAATTCCTTCCATCTGTCTACTTCTCTCTCTTTAGACAGGACATTACAAAACTATCACAGACTGAAAACATATGAAGATAGAGAAGGGCTGTGCTACCAGATAGCCATTTGAAAGTTGCTCTGAGATTGGGATTTAAGTGTAATGAATAAATAAATGACAGTCATTGGTATGGGGTAGACAAGAGTATTAGATTTGATTTCATTGACTCCACTCAGCCATAATAGGACATTAAAGGAAGAGCAATGAAAAATATCAGGGAATGAAAGCACTAAATGGAATTGCCAATTCTTCACTCAGGTATTGGGGATGAAAGGAAACTCTACAGTAGAAGAAAGTACAGTATGCCAATAAAACAATACAATAGAAAGTAATAAATAGAAATAAGACTGAGTTCCTACCACTCTACCACTTCTACCACTACCACTTCTATGAAAGTAGAGCAGGATATATTCAAATATGATAGTTTAATTATTACTACTATGATGACAAATATAGCTAGTTTTGCCATCAATGCTGGCAAAGAATAAATTAGAGTTGTAGGCCAATACAACCAAAGGGAAAGAGTTGGAAAAGACCACTTATTTTAGCCCCCCCCCCCTTTAGTGGTACCAGTATAAAATACAATTTAGAGCATTTTTATGAGATTGTATAAACATATCTTCTTCTTTTGGATTTAGCTACAAAGATTTAAGTGGCCTGGATTGATTCCAGGAGCTAATCAGAGAAAATGCATCCAGGTTGATATTAATGGAGCCCTCAGTGACTTTCGATACTGTTGGTGGAGAGTATCTTTCGGCTTTATTCTTTCTATCTGCTGTAATTGTACTTATATAATTTGATTTCTCTTGTGGCTTAGGGATCTCATGAGTGTTTTCATAGGGGAGGTCACCTGGGGTGTGGGTTGTGGGCCACCAACACATGGATGAAAAGAAAAAGCTAGTTCTTTTTGTCAAGTATTAGGGAAACTGAAAATAAAATGTATCAGTTTTGGATAGAAAAGTGAATAGAAAGTAGGCAGATAATGTGAAGTTAATCTGGAGAAGGGAGTTAGCGCTAGCCAACAGAAATGTTAATGTGGAAATGATATGTCATCTGTTTCAGACATGCTGACCTTAAGCACAGGTTCAACCAACAGATTTTCTCAAATCTAACATAGTTAAAAATTTAATTCTGTAGGTTCTAGAGAAAACATATCCAACAGCTCACAGCAACACAAGATGTAATCTCACTCTGACTAGTATCCTACAACTGCTCATTTTTTCAGCCAGATATTTTATTCCAAATATCGTGGGGATACCTACCCTTCCTGGATTCACCAGATTGTCCATAGCTATCAAGTCCTTTTTCAGTTCATGCAGTTTCTGAAAGTTTTCCATTTTTAGCATACTGCTATGGAGCTGGGCTACCATCTCTGAAATTTCTGCCAGAGCAGCTGTGAAAGGAGGGAAAAATAACAAACAAAGAAATTGTGCCATCAAGTACAGCTACTCTATTAGAGGTTTGAAGAAGAAACATGCAATATTTAACATTTTGTGAACAATGAAATAGAATCTATAGCCACAAGACCAGGGGTGAAATTCAGTAGGTTCTGACAGGTTCTGGGGAACCGGTAGCGGAAATTTTGAGTAATTCGGAGAACTGCCAAATACCACCTCTGGCTGGCCTCAGAGTGGAGTGGGAATGGAGATTTTGCAATATCCTTCTCTCAGAAGTGGAGAGTGAATGGGGATTTTGCAGTATCTTTCCCCTGCCAGACCCACCACACCACACCTACAGAACCGGTAGTAAAAAAAATTGAATTTCACCACTGCACAAGACTTCCAGTTTCAAATTGAATCTGCCCCCTCAAAATATTCCTGAATTTCACTTGGAGATCATGAGTTTCCATGGATGTTTGCTAGTGAACTAATATAAATTATTTGATAGACTTAACTGATTTGGCCCCTGAAACAATGTGATTTTTTTTTTAAAAAAATCTCATTTTTGTAGCTGCGCTTAAAAATATGTTTGATCAGGGCATCATTGCCCTTTGAAGCCAAGGCATAATGTATCTGTATTCAAGAACAAATTACTTGACATATTTACCACCTTTGTGCATTTATAAGATTCTTTCAATTATGCACATAAGCCTGAAAGCAAATCTACTCTGATTGTACACATCTAGAATTTTCTTCTATAGTCCTTTATTATTTCATCAATGATTTGGATGAGGGAATAAATGGGGAACTCATCAAATTTGCAGATGACACCAAGCTGGCAGGAATAGCCAACACTCCAGAAGATAGGCTAAAGATACAGAAGGATCTTGATAGCTATGGACAATCTGGTGAATCCAGGAAGG